TTTACACATTTAAGGATTTTTTAATGAGTTGCAGTTTCAGATGAAATTGCAGTTTGAACATAGCGTTTGTAAACATATGTTCAGTTAAACATGTATAACATAAGGTCACTCCAAGGTCAGGTTTGTGTGCTAATACACTATACGCTATTGTATTATATATTTGTGACCCCGGGTTCCGGGACAATGCCAGATGTCACTTAGCCCGACCCCCGAGCCATCCCCACGCCCGGGACTAACTATGGCATATTGTCAGGATTATCCAAATACATTATCGATCCTTACATCTGTAAAGTCAATAATCTAGAGATTACTATCTTCAAACTGACGGCAGAACATTTCCTTTCTGAAAGATAATGAACAGGGGCATCCGGAAACGAAACTTCGCGTCCTTAATTACGACTTATGACTGTTCAGAAAACCTATAAAGAAATTACAAAACTTCTCATAAATCAAAAATTAGTCGGTAAAATAATTTAGAAACGATTGACAGATCATTTCCACGCTACAACAGTGGTGACATCGCAGATGAATTTTATTTTATATCAAAATCTAATTGTTATGTAGATTTAAGAAAGCATTTTATTTACAAATTTGACTTCAATGGACTTAGTCTTTACAAAAATTTAATTTATGGAAACATTGAACAAGACAGAGTAAACAAATTTAGCAAAGCAGATTAAACTGAGTAATTAGAAATTATTTATAACTCTCACAAACACTATTCTTGTCGTTGTATGTGTTTGTGTGTGTGTGTACGTGTGAAAGAGAATGACAACCTGCAGATGACAGTTTATTTTTGTATGTTTATTTTGAAGCGGTGACCCATTAGGTTAAAGGTACATATACTAAAGACCAGACTGAACTCAGGACAAGAGCGTAGACTTTTAGCATTATTTATATTATACACCAATAAATGTTCTGATTTATCTTTTCTACAAACAATTACAGAGGCAGTGTATAAGGTATCGCGTTGTATGAATTAAAAATGTCCTAATCTCACATTTAAGCAATGTGTCATATGACTGTGTTCGCTTACACTAACATGTACTAGAGTTGTCATTACCTATACACGTACATTGTAGTTCCATGTTCTTCCTCTCGTGATGACGTCATATCGTTATATATGGCATATATATAACGCATGTGATTCAGCTGTTGAACTTTCCTGGTTTCAATGGGTTTCTTAAAGTCTTTGTGTTTGTTTAGAAGAGGTGAAATGCGGAAAATATCGTCCTAATCGATGATGACTTATATTAACAATGCTTCATATGATCTTCATGTCTATTTCGGTATATTGTAGAGAGTTTCAGCTACTTTTTGTATCAATGAATGCAGTATATATAACCGACCTACTCGGTAGTGAAGCGGACGAAAACCACGCAAACAAACAAACAAACAATATCCTTCTGGTGCGAAAGAGTGTATCATTATAGGTATGTTACCAAACAAAATATCTGTAATATCACTTGAAAAATGTACAGCATCAAAAATAATTACATATCATAAACAGGTTTAGAGAAATATAAATTGAAGAAAAACGTTGTCGTTATCATTTCATGCCAAATACACTACACTGTATGGTTAGTGTGTGACCCCGGGTCCTGGGACTATGCCAGATGTCACTTAGCCCGACCCCCGAGCCATCCCCACGCCCGGGACTAATTGTCAGGATTATCCAAATACATTATCGATCCTTACATCTGTAAAGTCAATAATCTAGAGATTACGATCTTCAAACTGACGGCAAAACATTTCCTTTCTGAAAGATAATGAACAGGAGCATCCGGAAACTGAATAGCGACACATCTTATGCAAGACAATAGACCGTTCACACGAAAAGTGTGATACTGTTAACTGTAAACAGTATTTCCATATACTTTTAATGAGAATAGATAATATATTTACCTTTATACCCAGATCAATTTTTTTCCGTTAAAGGAATTTGACACCAATGTATAAAATTATTATTATGGGAACGTAAATAAACTAAAGAAAATGATAAAATTGTCACTAAACTGCTGAGAATTGTCCCTGCATCATCTTAGAAACAATAAATCTGTTTTCGCAACTCACAACAATAGACATATACTGTACATAAGCAAGCGACAAATCAAATTTATTGATGCATTGATACAGGATTTAAACAAGGATTCGGTCTATTTTGTATATTTTATTACGGGTTAGTGAGACAAAAAAGCACTGTCCTACGTCACAAGGCCATCTCATCACTTTATTTAAATGTTATTAAACAAGACGAAAACATAAAGAGAAAATGAACTTTGTTCAATGAATCTAAAATGTTTTTTGCTTTGTATACGAGCGGTTCCAAGTGACTTATTTTTAGACTGAAACTTGCGGAACTTTTCGCGTGTTTTTGTAAGTACTGCATTTTTGGTGCCGTTTGTTTATACTCGGGACTAAGTCAACAACTACTTAACATCGACCCGGAGTACAAATAACAAAAACGTGTATTCTTCTCCCTACAATACTGTTACGACATAGTATGTTTTCTAGAAAGTCAGTCCCCTGATCCCGCGAGAGTAGGATTAGTTTTAATCCCATTACACATCGCACTCCGACCCTTTGATGTCGGCCGACCCACTCTCCGTCATTACACCTGTGGATAGATTATACTTACCTGTCATTATTGTAGTTAATTAACCCAACAATGCCAGGTAAGTGAATTAAGTCCAAAGTACTAGATCTGCCGCAAGACGGAGTTATCCCCCTAAAATCGGACGGCCCCTTTGAGGGAATTTTGGTCCAGAATTTTAAATTGATCTTTTACGCCTTCCTAGAAAAACAGACTTACACTTCAAGGTAAAACGTTAAAATGTGGCGTTTTCTTTTTTATTGGGACACAAAAGCTTCTAATAGAAGTAAGATTTATCAGAAACAAAACATTGTTGGGGTGAGAATTCCGGAAAACATCAAACACACGCTTTAAGAAATCTTAGAACACGTTTTATGAAAATAAATACCCTTCTTACATGTAAACAAACACAAACAAGTACAGCTCATGGAAACAAACAAACAAAAAATATCAACATTTATATTTTTGCCGTATATTTTCATGCTAAATGTGTCGACATTTATTATGATAATTAAAAATAATCTTTTCTGTTTGGTTTTCTGCTGAGGATGATTTAGACGGTTAATTTTCAACAATATTGGTTTTATTGTTCACAATAAAAGGAAAACAAATAATGCTGATTCGTCTGTTACAGCAATAACACATACATGTCTTTGTTTGTTCGTTTACCGTTAGTTACCGTACCATTAGTATCTCAAGGTCCTCAGACACGTGTCCCACAGTTTCACTATTGCATCATGTCGTATGTATTGTTTATTCAATTTGAAGCCTTACGGCTCATAAGCATACACAGCAACGTATAATTGATACATAAGTGATATGAAATACCAAATAATTATAACATCATGAATGAAGCATAATCTTGTACATCGCATATATATATATAGTACCTATAAATGGCAGTATAGTTCTATTAATTATTAAAAAGTACAAGATAAATAAATTATCGGAAGATGGCAGATCTTATAAAATAACCTCACCTAAGTGTACTGTGGCTATCGGAAAACAGATGAGGTGACAACATTTTCTTAGCATAATAACAACCGGGGCTCAATAAAGAATATGTTAATTACCATGTAATTACCATTTCTCATGTCGTAAACACATTTGTAACTGAAAACAGCGTATTTTTTAAATTCCAAAAACAACAGTTCTATGGTTATAAAAACAAAACGTTTTAAGCGAAGAAAATAACCGTTTGTTTTAGTTTTAAAAAACCTCTTGTTTTTGTTGTGAAAACAAAAGTTTTTTAGTGAAGATCACTTGGTTCGAATCCGTTTAAAACATGCATTGCCGTAGATATGTATTAAGCCGGAATGACACGATAGCCATTGATAGGTACCGTGGTATAGAGGGAAACAAGAGATATTATAATATTTGAGCAGGAAATAGAACAATATGCAGAGACTTTTTGTAAAATATGTATACTTACTGAATTTCTTTAGTATAATTTATTTTTAGTTCGAAAGATCAAACACCTGTTTGTATTATTGAATTATTTTAACGTAACACATTACGCATTTAATGACTAGATTATCAATATAAATTGCGTACATGCTTGTTTTAATCGCAAACTCTTCTATATAAAGTAACGTGTGCTTCCAATGAAATCTATTTTATGAATTTATTATTTTCACACTCTTATGAATATGATGTTGTAAGTCTCAACACCGACTAAGATAGCAATCTAATTCCGTGGTCTTAATTTTCATGGCTTTTTCTGGTTATGAATTTACGTCATATTATTTTTATATTACAAGCAATGTACATCGTATTGATTGTCTGCTCATAAATATGTATATCTATTAAATTAGGAATTAATGTTTTCGTTGTGTCAATAAAAACAAATAATATTACATGTAACGTTGTATTTGTGTGTATTAATTAGCTTTACATAATTTTCCAATATACGCTACATGTCCAGTGCGTGAAATATTGCGCACGTGTTCTTGTTGTGACTTATGTGGCGGTCAAGTTACTTCAGTAAACAATGTATCTGATATTTCTTGTAATTTAGCCCAATCTGTACATATTTGCAGATCAATTTCAAACACTTGGACCAATATTTGCTAAAATCCTAGACTACTGCAGAAGACGTCACGGGTGAGCGCTCACGCTTCAGGTAACTGTAAGTAAAGGGGCGGGACTGTTCCCCGTAACCTGTCACGGGGGACAATAGCGCGTGTAAACAGTGGGCGGGGTTATTGGGTAATAATGACCATTGACACATCAATCAAAGACGGAGACGCCAAAAAGAATCTCCGATTATTATCTATTAGTATGGTTTGACCATTGGTGACGGCCCATTTTGAACGACCAATCACATTCCGTCTTTTTATCCAAGTTTTAGGATAAAACTCTGGCGATACCGAGTTTCAAAACATAATTAACTTTTTTGGAGAAGAGAAGCAATATTTTTTCAGGCAGACTTTATCAGGATATACAAACAGTGATCAGTTTGGACAAACATCTTTGTAGTTTGTTGTGATATACAATAACATTGTACACCAACGTTGTTTTATTACCACGAACTCTAATCGGCCACGGACGGAACTTTTGGAAAATATTTTCCGTGAAACATTGAGTTTTGTTAGTTCATTATGATAATGGATAACAACCAGAACTTAGCAGGCAGGGATGGACTGACCGATACTTCGTCCTGTATGATGGCCACCTCGCACCTCCTACAATCGTCCATGCACGGGATGAACCCCGACCTCCACCCAGATCACACAGTGGACCACCACGATCGTCTCCACGACGACAATGACGACGTCAAGGATGAACTCGATGTGAACAGTTCCGGAGACTCTGACGACGACCAGAACTTTTCCGGAACTTCAACTTTATCACAACAGAATCGAAGATTTGCGGACGTAAAGCCACCGTATTCCTACATCGCCCTCATCACCATGGCGATAGAGAGTTCCAATTCTGGTATGATGACCCTGAACGAAATCTACGCCTTCATCATGAATAGGTTCCCTTACTTCAAGGAGAACCAACAAAGATGGCAGAATTCTATCCGTCACAACCTTTCCCTTAATGACTGTTTTGTGAAAATCCCACGTGCTCCCGGTCGACCAGGAAAAGGGAACTACTGGGCTCTTCATCCAGCGTGCGGCGATATGTTCGGTAACGGAAGCTTCTTGCGCCGCGCCAAGCGCTTCAAGCTCCAGCGCCAGAGGATGAGGGAAGCCGAACAGGCGCAAGTACAGCATGTGAATTCATTTGGACATTTCAGCCTTTTCCCTCCTCCAACGTCCGGATACAAACCTTATCCTTCGCTCAACTCGCTAACACTCGGCTCGTTCCCCCAGGGTCTTCCTCAGTCTCAGCAATACGGCAGCTTAGTTTCCAAACCGGAACCATGGAACCCGCCCGGCTCCTCCAGCTACAATCCATACTACAGCAGCAACAGTATGAACATGAATATGAACAATTCCATTGGAGCTTCCCTTGGTAGTTCCCTCGGAAGTTCTCTGGGCGGACCCTATCTCTCCGGGAGCCAGGTACCTCCCGTGCCAAGTATGAACAGCTCTCTGACAAATTACCCCTCTCTGCAGCAGTCCTACGGGTGCGGTCCCCAATACAACAGTCAGATTCGGCTCCAGGCGTCTCAGTGACAAACCCAATGACTTAAACAATTGTAAATGAGTGATACAGACAATTGCGAACCAGTGATATTTTGTGTAACTGTGAGAATGATGTGTATGTGTGTGTAGAGGTAAGAAAATAACTGTGTTGATAATTCATTCATATGTTCATAGTAATTGATATCACATTATTTTATGTTTCCGAACTTATATTGATTAGATATAATTTAACTACCAGTGTCGGATAACACATTGTTGTAATATATGATATATGTTTGTGTGAATTCTAGTGCTAAAATACAAGGTGAACACGACAGTCACGATGGGCGTCGCCCCGTGATACTGTGCACGTGTCTACGCATACTTCCTGTCACATGGTGGTCATGATTTCCTTATAATTACCTTATCAGTCCCTTAGTTGTTGTGTGTCTATTGGTGAATGACTATGAGGTAAGGATTGTCTTTGAATTGCATAATTTTGATTATAGACGTGAACAATTATGAAAAAGTTTGTATGTGTGTTTTGGAGTGTTTGAATGCCATTGATTTTGTATATAAAATGTTTTGAATCTCAACTGTGATAGTGCAATAAACAATTTGATAACCCAATTTATATCTCATGGTTTTCCTTAAAATGTAAATATCAAATGGACACAAACTGTTGATTCTTCCAGTAAATACAAATTCTAATATCTTTATTTGTTTTATGAGTATTAGCGCGAAGTAAATCAAACAGTGTCTAAATATTGATACAGATTGTGTCCTTTTGAAATTATGTTCATTATATTTCAAAATAAAACAAAAACCCGGAAAGCGAAAAACACCCGGAGAGACGAAAGATGGACAGAAAACAGACAAAAAAGACTGGGGAAATACACTTCTTGACAATGTTTGATAACACAAAGTATATTCATAATTATTGACAAATATCAAGGGGAGTGTCACGGAGATGTATTTGACTTATTTACACAATTGCATATCCAATTGAAAAACTACTTGTTGTATGCGGATTCTTAATATCATCGTGATTATCAAAAAACTTCAATATAGTCAAAATCGATACCCCATGATCGGACTTCCATGTCTACTGGTTTAGTCCCGTTTTGTAATGCGGAAAAATGATAGTCGGTCCGTCATCAGATATCCTTCTTACCCAAAATCAACTATTCCTCTATTTCACGAAAAAAAGGCGAAACATTAACTCACAATAGCGTTGTTCCTGTTAAGCAACATAACAGCTAGTCAATACATAGAAAGGACTACATATTTAACTTATAATCGTCAAACCCAGCCAGAGAGTCAACTTTGTTTTAGTTTGATGTAGCAAGACAATTTAATTAAGGTTTGACAATTTGCAATCTGAACCATTAAAACGATTATTTTCAAACAAATTCTATTGATATCATTAAACAAAATACCGGAATGCATCTGTCATTTTGGAGATTTGACTCCATTTCTAGCCGGACAATATCTTGAGATTCCTTTGGTAGGTTCAAAAGTCATTGAAAATTATTTAGGAAAGAAACTATATATTTCAAAAAAGAAACTATATATCTGTCTCAGTTGTTCGTCTATATATTCAATAACTGTAGTAGTCGGCTTATATATGAGCCATATATATATTCACTTAAACATTATCTACATAGTTTACACAATAATTTCTAATTTATCCAGTTATTAAAATCAATCTTTTTTTATTTTTATTTTTTAAAGATATGTTGATGCCTCTTTTTAAGCATGAGGGTAAGCGACTTTGAAAGCAAAAATTGTAAATCATTAGACTGATAAAAAAATAGAACTTTTGATTGACATACACTTGTAAAGGGATAGGGACACAAGGTATGAATTAAATATATACAAATAAGTAATTGTTGATATCATATTTGACTTGCGATTTAGGATATCGTGATTTCAAGCAACCGTGATTTTAAGAAGACAAATAATGTTGTAAAATAAGTTTGCCGTTTACCCATTTATCCAAAAAAAATGAAAACGACAATATTTTACTTTATCTAAAATCTCCTATAATTGCGCTGCTTTATCGTCAAGATCATGTCTTAGTTTTCAGTTATTGTCAGTTTCCCAAATATAGACAGTACATTCCTCATTCATCCTTTTAAATTAATTATTATTTCCTCTTAGAATATAACATCTAAAACTGTATGATGGAATACAGAACAGTGATGTTCTATTCCAGATCGGAATTAATTATTTTATTGGATTTATAAATTAAATACTTATAAATCTTCAATAAATACTTGAAAATCCTGAATTACTATTATAATTCGTAACCAATAATTGGTAGGTAATAATGCCATGTTTGTCCTGTTGAGATACGTGATGGATGGTTTTCATCTACATATACCTTAAACAGGTATTTTAATATATTAGAAAAATATGTATTATAATATAAAATGTCTTTTAAATAAATTCTTATCAAGAGATGAGTGTTTCTATTTTTTTTATATTATTAATATGAACTGACGAACAAAACAATTTCTTCAGGTTAAGACTTTTAAAGTTAGCATTTAATTTCCATTTATTATAAACCATGAACAATATCAGTTTTATAGTGTGATATGCTGATATTCATGTGAAACAATGTTACAGTGGTATATAACACTCAACCTACATCAACATCCAACTAACATCGACAGCTGATAAAAAGGCTATATTTTCCTTACTACAGGGGGAAATGTATCAATGTTCTTAGAATTGTATAATCTTTAAAAAGAAAACAAATGTTCATAATTAAAATGTTGTCAAGTATATAGGGTAACGGTGGAATAAGATGTACATGGTCACGACAAGAAAATATTAAACCGGTGTGGTACATGTAAAATAAATCTAATTGGGAAACATACTTGATCAATTTAAGTAAGAGTAAAACATCTGAGGCCGATACCGCGACAAAAATTTCTGTTGTAGAATTTTAAGGAAGAACTGTGTTTTAAAACAAATATCTTGACCTATTGTATTAATATAACATATATATTTTTTTTTTTTAAATTGGAATATGCACAGCTTGTAAAATATCGATAGAAATGAACAGTTCCGTTATATTTTAGAGTGTCTTCAGAACTTCGTAAAGACAGAGAAAAGTACTTCGCCTGTTAATATATGCAATTATATAGCTATTCCAAATGTTTGTTAATTCTTAGAAAGACTAGAAAAACTGTTGAATATAGAGAAATGATTTGTGATCTTTGAATGTGTGTTGTTGTCCGCCATGTACACTGACTGTTATACATACATGACTTCCTGTTAATCCTTTCTATGTCTGAAAGTAATCAAAATCTTGAATTTTGTGAATAATTTTGTGGACGAGTAAACGTCTTGGGTACAAATTTTCTATTTAAACATTAAAAACTAAAAATCTCTGTAAATAAAGTTCAATGATAAAGTTTGTCTTTCCATAAGTTTAGCCGTCTTCATTGAACTTAATTTACAGAGATTTTTTAGATTTTAATGTTTAAATAGCACAACATGTATATACTGTGAAAACACTTGTGTTTGTACGATTAATCATCGAGTATAAATGCATCACGTTATAAACGTATTGTTTTACTGATCAGTATGTGTTTTCACAGTATATACATGTGATACTATGTACACAATACTAGACAAGGACTACACCCCGAGTAGTCGTACACAGTAATAGTGATGATAACCATTACACGATTCAAATTTCTGTTAAAACATGTTGTGAGCTCAAACTAATTATCATTAACACTGATAGAAATAGGTACTTTCAGTGTTGTTTCTACAATCAATAGCTCGTGAACTTTTGCAAGAATTCTCCTGAATATAGATAAAAGCAAGTGCGGATTAATTTCACATTTGGAGATCGTTCAATGCCATTCGGTATGAGTATTACACAAACGACTTATTCAAGTGTCAAAATGGGCACCACTTTCTTAAAATAATAGTTACTGGTAAAAAACTAATGCTGGAGTCGGACGGACATGATCAGACCAGAATTCCGGACGATCCCCATGACCAACTAACTGGTAGTAATGGCTTGTTTGTGTCTTGTGCAAAACAACGCTGAAAATATGTAATAAAATTTATCAATATTGATCGAGAGAATTACTTGAGTAACATTTGTTTAATCAGGCAGACTTTGGCAGTTTTAAGCAGCCATTCTTCTACAAAACAGTTCCTAATCCAGCGAACGACAAGTCGACCAAACACGCCAGCGGGCAGTGAAGGAAGTCACCGGGCCTAAGCTTGTCTGACAACAAGGATCGGACAACTGTCAATATTCCCCTAGTTAAAGAATACAAAACGTCTACAAATCTCCGTCCCAGTTTCACTTAGAACATCAATATTTCATCGTATTTCTAACAATATTGCCCTAAATCTAATATGATACGGCTGTATTCTCAAAAATATTGAAGTTAAACTGCTGGCGAGTTTTCTTATCTGTTTGAATAATATCTGATGATTTTTAAATATTTTTGCACGCAAGTGTACATTGTTCACAGTTTATATCAATATTTCCTGCCAATATTTTCGTATCAGGCGAATAAAGTTAATTGTCGTGTTATTTATTTATTTTTACGAAGTAACGTGTACACTATATTGTTCTTTTATTGTAGTCAATAAAAATGTAAATTAATTATTTATGTTAAGGAATATATATACATATTGTATTATTAATAGGGAAATATTGTTAGAAATACGTTGAAATATTTATGTTCGAAGATTAAACTGGGACGGACATTTTTTGGCTCTTTATTTTTTTCTTTATTTATCATTTTTATTAAAATATTTTCACATTTCATCTCGTTTTCTCTATAGTTATCCTATTTATTTTATATTGGAATTTCTATATTGATATAATCATATTTCTTACTATATTTACATTGTTCAGTTCAGTTTTTTGCCATCGACGACATATCAACTTTGATTCTAACATCAGGAGAAAATAGCAAGCGTTCATGGAATAGGATTTTGTTTTATTCATTTAGTATTCTAATTTTAGCGAATTGTATTGATTTTCTCATTTTATATCTGTTTATATCTACAATTATGTGTCGAATGCAAGCCTCAGACACACATAAGTCAAATTTTAGAGATGTCTATGTCTGTTTGTGGAGATAACACTTCCTGGGCAATAAAAAAGTTTAACAAATACCAAACATATTTTTCTGATGTTGTTCGGTTCGAAAGTATGCCTGTCCTAATCTCTTCACACCGTTAGGTGGCACGGCCCGAGGAGAGCGTCCGCCCCACCCTGCCAGGTATGGCACGGGTCACCTGTCAGTTACCACCTTAACAAGGTCACCTTGTCACGTGCTCGATCCCTAACAAGGATGTCACAAGAATGACGTATACTATTGTCTATTCAGAGATAGTTGTTTTCATAGCAAAAAACTGTAAGACCGTGGTGGATCTGCCGCGGGCTCCAGTGTACCGTGACAGCCACACTCCGACACGCCCTGAACCGGCCAGCCGTATAATTGACTAATTAATTGGTTTACTAAACGGGCTTAAAAAAACATTATCTGTGCAATTATCATTATACAGATAATTAAATCAACTAATTGCTGTTCGAATGCAATAGTTGGCCTTTGACAAAACATTCCGGTTGCTTGCTAA